CAGCAGGAAGAAGGATTGAAATCAGAGCTCTGTTTTTCCTGTTAAACCAGCTTTTTTCATCCCTGACAGCTAAGGATGGATAAGATGGTTGTTTTAGTAGCATCTAATGCTTTTGATTGCTTTGGACAAGAGTACATTTGTCTTAATTTTTCTCAGAAATCCATAGTGTGCACATTTAATACAATACTAAGACTTGAGGGAGTGTAATTCCTTGTCCCTTTCTAAGCATGCTATGAGATTTTCCTGATAAAGCCTGATTGTCTTGGGTTCTGCCAGTCTCTCGAGGCAGGTGCTGCGGTAAAGGTAGCATTTCATAAAAGTATCTGGTGTGGTTGTAAATTAAGGTTTTATGTCACTTAATTGCCGTGTCAGAGAGGGGAGAGAAAAGGAGGTAGAGAAACTTGTCTCATCACCAACATGTAAAAATGAAATAGGAAACTATGTGGCAGATGCTGAAGTCTGTCATGTTTGCTGTGTTCTTAGACAGCCAGCAAGTTCTAAACTTTTCTTTTAAAAATCAAAAATCCCCTGCTTTCTGGAATACCTCTGAAAACTGGGACATGCAAATTTACAGTCTTTGCAGCTCAGTCGTGCAGGTAGTTATTGTAGCCCAGTAAGAGCGGCTGCTGCAGTGGGAATGCGCGATGCTCACCCTTTTCTGCCCTTCTGTCAATTCTCAACTTCAAAGACTAATTGAGATTACTTATGAAGATGTTCAGGATGGTGGTTTAAGTAGCTTTGGCTGTTAGACTCGCAAGAAATTTTAAGTTTTCTAATTGCTTCAGTTACGTATTCTTGATGGAAGTTATATAGTGATGTGGAGACATTGTAGTAGTGTCTCAGTTGCCAGATACAAACTTTTTATTCTGATCTTCAGATATTATAGCCACTGTGTGTAGTATTAGCAAGTAAAACCACTTTGTCCTGAAAAGTGGTCCCTTTAACCAGTCTCCTTTAACATGAAGAGCAGACTTTTAAAATGGAAAACTGGAATTCTTGCACTAATTGCCACTTACATGAATTAAAAATATGTTTTTATTTGTCAAGAGTGAGTTTCTTGTGCCCTGTTAGAGGCAGAAGTCACTTTCAGAGGTAACATGGGATCTGACTGGCACATGGTAAAATTCTTGACTGCACGTTTGGGTTAAAGTTTATCACCTTTAAGTAACTGAAACCTGGTGGGTGGCACTGCTTGTACTGTCAAGGTGTGTTTCCTGGAGTTTGTTGTTGACTTTCTGTATATTTCCAAGTAATTTGCTTACCTGGGCCTGTTACTATACGGTTTTCTCTCAATGTTATCAGCATTGTCCCAGGTTTCAAGTAAATTTGGCAGTCTTTGTTGAGTACCATCTGTTCTCTGGTGTTTAGCTGCAATGTAAGTTGGGTGGGTGTTGTCAGTGTCCATGTATTTGACTTGAGCACATATTTTGAAGAGTGTTCTCTTTTAAGTGGAATTGTTTAAGTACAGCTGGTTCTTAAACCATGTACAATAGAATAAATATTAAGTGGTTATATACTGGAGGAACACTTCAGTGACCAGAAGGTCCTCTTTTGGAACAGTCCAATGTGCAAAAGAGTCTGGCAGATAAAATTTGTTTATATGGAAAACTCAATATATCCTTTACAGTAAAAAGTTCACTGGGGGTTTTCATCGTACTGCTTGACATTTCTGCAGATAAGTGAGGTGGTGTTTAAGATTAACACAAATGTGAGAGGAGCCATAGCCTCCTCTTAGAGCATAAGGCAAACTTCAATAGCATTTAAAAAACCAAACCTTTTTGTTCATGGTTGTTGCACAGGCAAAAAGCAGCAGGTAAATAAAACAGGCACAAGTATCTGTGTACTTTTTCCTGTTAAAGATGTCTTTAATGAAATGTTAACATGCCACCTAAAGGAGATCAAAGTGTCTGCAAATTTTATATTAGTTGCAGGGATGCTTCTATAGTTCTAGTGGTGGGTTTTTTTCATGATATTTTCCATCTTTTCAGCATGAAGCTAAATTTTTTTCCCCCGTCTCTCTCTTAACAGAACTTTCTGCAGAAGCCAAAGCAGCATTACTTGAATTTGAAGAGAGGGAAAGGCAGCTTAAACAGGGACGGTATGGCTCAAGGAGAGGAGGGCGAAGAGGAGGCTCGGTTATGTGCCACGGAATGGGAGAACAAAGGAGAGACAATAATGATAGGGGAAGAATGAAGGATCACAGGTCTGCACTGCTGCCAAACCAGCCATCGACAATGGTACCTTTTAATCCTTAGTATTCTTTGAATGTACTTTCAGGAAATTATGGCAGAATGCATTCTAAATCATGACTCTTTATAAAGGTGGAATATATATTCCAACATACGCTTTTTGCTCTTTCGGGGCACTGTTAGGCAAGATGGGCTTTGCGTAACATGGTGATTGTGAAAATGTGCTTAGTCTGTTACCAGCCTCAGCTTGAGGAATCTTAATGCCTCCAAATGAAAAGTGGATTTCAACTCATACAACAGTCAGGCTTACCTACTGGTTTGCGTAAGGATGGAGGAAAAAGTCAGTTCCTCTGAGAAGTCCTCTACATGCAACATGGAAGCATGTAGAGTCCCACATTATTAGTAGTAATTTAGTTTTAAAAAAAAATAATTCTGTAAAATATTTCTTGTTTTTTGTCAAACTAGTATTTTTGCTGTTACTTAAAAAAAAAAAATTATTTGTATACTTGCCATGCTACTACAGGGGCAAATAAAGCCCTAGGAAGGTAATCACCACTAGATAAATTAGTATCTTGGGATTTTGGATGGAATTTAGCTTTGTTACTCTTTTTTTCCCTCCTGTGCTTTGCATCATGAATTAAAAGATGTTACTTTTTCCATCCAAAAAAAATCAAAACCAACCAGCAAGTGTGCGATCACAGGTAGCCCACACTTATTTTTTTCTTAACTGTCATGAAATGTACTGGAAGCTGAGATTGTAGAACAAAGCCTGTGTATGTCTTTGCAGGACAAGGTCATCTGTATTAAACAAAGGGGATTTTTTTCAACAGCAGTAACTCTAGGTGCTGATCACTAGCAGGAGTCGGTGGATATCTCAGCGATTGAGAGCCAGCCCTGCAGTAGAATATTTCGTGCTTTTAAAACAGTGAAGGTGGAATAATTTTTTTTCTGTATTGCTGCAGTCTCTGCTAGTTATTTTGATCTTAAATGTTGTAAATATATTGTGCTCATCACAATATCTTCTTCTTGTGCACACTTTGTAGCTGCTTTGCTTTATGTACGTGGCTGCTGAAAAAAATTATGTCACATCTTTGTTACTAAAGGGTCATCTGTTTGGGACTCTTCTTGCACTACAGTTTGGAAGTTACTGGGGTAGGACTGATATCTAGCATCAGTGAGTTCCAGAAGCAGAAGAATGTCTCAGAAGAATGTCTCTGAAACATGATAATTCTTTTTTTTTAAATTATAACTGATTTGGGCCATATGTTGCAAAAGGTACCTTTGAAAGGTATCTTTAAAGTAGTCTTTTCTTCAAGCAGTATTGATAGATGGTCTGCACTGTTAGGTCTGTTTTCTCAGAGAGGCTCTTGTATACATGAGACAAAAGTTAGTGGATTTGTTTTGATACTAGGACTCAGATTTCTAGTGATCATCACACATACCTTATTGCAGTTGATGACAGTTTCCAGTGACATATGCAGAACCCTACATATGAAACTAGACAGTTTCCCTGTTAAAAATAAGTGGATGAATGTCTGCATTCCCTGTGTGCTTCCTTGCTCTTTGCTGTCCTCTCCACATGAATGTCTTTGAATGTTCCTTTGCTTTCCTGCGCTGATGGTTCTTAACAGTTCCAGTTGATGATATGGGAAAGCTTTTTTCTATTCATATTTGTCCTTACTTGTTCTCCAAAGGTGTCTTGATTTTGTGGTGGTTTATGTCAGGATATTTTAACTTTAAAGCCTATTGACTTTATTCTTTTGTCTGACTTTAGACTCATTCACAGAGGTTAATTCCAACACACCAGCAACCTGTTAGGAGTCTGTTCCAGCAACAGCAGCAGCAGCAGCAACAGCAACAACAGCAGCAGCAGCAGCAACAGTTACAATCTCTGCTTCCTTTACAGCATCAGCATCATTCTTCTCCTCCTCCAGGGCTACATATGCCCCCTCAGATAGAAACGCCTAGAATAATGATGACACCACCTCCAGTGACACCTCAACAACCGAAGAACATACACATAAATCCGCATTTCAAGGGGACAGTAGTGACGCCGGTACAAGGTGAGCTTTCTGAACACCTTCCCAGTCATGCGAGTGTGACTCATCTTATTCTTTGCCAGGGATGCAACAATTTGTTTGTTTATCACTTCATGGAAATGTGCTTCGGGCTGATATTTTTTTCCTTAAACTTGAAACAAATGTTTTGCCTAAAGTAAGACATAATGTTGGACTATGGCCAGCTGAAACAGCAAAGCCTTTTCAACTTCTTTATCATTTTTGTTACTCTACTGTAAAGCCTGCAAAGAGCAGGAAAAATGGAAACTGAAAAGACAATGTGCTTTTTAAAAGTAGCAAATATTAGTTTTCAAAATTAGGTAAGTACTGCAGTTTATAACTTCCCACATCATTCCAGCTTCAGCCAAGCATTCACACAATGACCACCCACCTATGTCAGTGAGAGTACACTGAGGCACTCCTTGCACTGTAATTGCTCTGTGGAAGGTACCAGCTGCTGTCTTTACTTGACAAGATAGATGCCTTCAGTTCTTCTTTCAGTGCCACATTTGTGATTGTTTGATTCGCAGCCTGCAGGTACACTTTTTCCTTAACACAAGTGTTCTTTGGGCTACACTTTTTAGGGCAGCTCTCAGCAGAGCTGTTAACATTACTACTCATTTGGGAAGTGTTTAATCCCTAAGAGGATAAAAAAAAGACACCTCTATAGCTCTGATTGTGATTCTGTTGGGACTAGACAAATTAAAGAAATACAGATACATTTATGTGTATTTACCATTAGGTTTTCTGTATTTTTCCCCCCTTCGAATCAGCAGTCCAAGCCAGTGTTATCTTTGCTTCATTTATTTGACCAATGAAAGGTAGGAATTTGGCAGGTGTAGGATATTGCTGGTTGATAGAGATCTGTTAGGCTTCTCACATATGGCTTCATAGTAGCTGCTTTGTAGAGATTATTTGCTTTTTCCTGTCTAATAAAATCAGTGCTTTCCTCCAAATTATGCATCAGGACAAATTAACGGGAAGCAGTCCAAAAGGTTCTTTACTCTTGGATGTATGCCTTCTGGGCATTTTCCTAACATTTCTGAAGCAACAGTTACTGGTTTGTGAAAAGCAAAAGTTGTTTTTAGTCTGTTTTAGATGCCTCTCCTCTCTCCCCATGAGACAGTCTACAAATCTTCTGCATCTAGATGAACAAGTTTCCTCCTAATGCCAGCAATGGCTATTGAGGACTTTTGCTTTTGCCTAACATCAAAAGTATACCAGTGTATCTTCCTTCTTTTGTCTGAGGTTTTTCCACATTATCAGGTGGCTTCAGGCTTGTCTCAGCCTTACTACTGCATCTGTGGCACCGTGGGTATTCCAAGGGCCTTGCTTTATCTTGAGTTTAATCTTTTTTTCTGTCTTTACTTGCAGATCCTCATTTTAACAAAGTTGTGTACCTCCTGCAAGTTAGGAGATCTTCATTATTGGAATTATAAGATCTAAAAAGCAGACTGTAACTGTTGACTTTGCATGCACATTTTCTTGACTGGTAAAAGTCTAGTTGTCCTCTCAGAATGAGCAGCCCTGGTAGAATGAGTGATCTGTTCTTGAATGATGTAAGACCTGTATTTCAGTGAGGAAGGTCTTTGCTCTGTATTGATGGCAGCTGGCTCATATGAAATACCTTTGAGCTGTCCATTTTACCGAAGGAATTCTTGGCAAGACTAATGGATATTTCTGCTAATAGGTTTGCAACATACTATTAAATGCAATCTTTCAAATCACTGTAGAATTTTAATTTTCTTGATCAGAGAACATGTACGGGAAGCCGAGTCTTCTGCAGTGGCTGAGAGTAGTGGCCATCTCAGTCTCTTAGTCTGCAGCAGTACAATTATGTTACATGAAAATACACATTTGCACACCTAAGGAATATGTGTAGGAAATCAGTAGTCATCTTCAGGGAAGATAAGCATAATTCTAAAATCTTCAATGGCATTTACGTATTAAGATGAATTTTTAAGCAGTTGCTGCAGGCAAACAGTAGACAAATTCCAGTGTAGGGAGAGCTTTTCTAAACTTCCTCTTAAAATGTCCTCCTCAGTTTAATCCGTCTGCTTGAGGCCTCAACAGGGAGAGACTGGTAGTTGGCTTCATGTTCTTGATGATGTCCTGCCCCTTCTTGGCTGAATATGTTTCCAGACGCATGAGGGTTTTTACACTTTGGAGAATACAGTCAGATAGGTGCAAAGTTTATTGGGATTCTGTTGTTGAAAATGTGATGCCTGGAAGCTAAAAATGCCACGTCTGCAAGTGCGTGATATGCACACTGAGGTTCTGGTAATTTTAATGGTGTAATGTCATGTTTTAGTGTAGACTGGCATTTTTTCCCTCTGTAATTTTATGGCAGCATTAAGCTCACATGTTCTAATTGTCAGCACCAGGGACACTTTTTCTGACTGCAAATCAAAGAAATATACTTTCTCAACATCTTTGTGGTTTGAGTTAGTCTTCAAATGCATCTATTATGTCAGTATTTTCTAAAACCTTCTGTAAATTTTTGTGAAATTTTCATGTGAATAAAATAGCATGTGTAAGAGCTGTAGTCGCCAACTACTTCAGCCTGGAAGTGAGTTGAAGCACTCTTAAAAAATCCTATCATTGGCATATTCTTTTGGTATCTCAAAGACAGTGGCCACCATCTCCCCGCCCAGCCTTGAATCTTGGTTCAAAAAAATAGTTTTTAAGTCAGTTTTGTTTCAAGCAAATTTCTACTATTTTTAGTCTTTGAAGCTTCATAAATGATTAAGGAGGACTCAGTCTATCAAACCCCCTAAAACATTTATGTGAGCCTCTGCGTGTACCGGCTGCAGGTACAGTTCCCTTGGTGTTCAGCAGTGCCTTTTGTGGTATTTGAACCCCATGTCTTTTAGTTGCTTCCTTCTCATATAGTTTTCTCTTTTGTGTGTCCTGTTCTGTAAATTAGTTTCGAGTTGTAAGTAGGAATTTTTCGCTGAATGTATGTTCAAATTTGAGTATAATCAATTTACAAATACTGGACTGGAGGACTGTACCTGGATGTACTATGAAATGCTAATTCAGCCTATCATACAGGTATCGAGTTTTTTCCCCTTAATGTTTATACCACAAATAACTATTTCAAGGATACTGTGGTGCCTCCAAAAGTGATGTGAAGTAGTGAACAGTTTATGGCAGCTCGGTAGATTAGTATGCCATTTACCTTTTAAAAACTGTTTGGTGTCTTGGGAAAAATTACGTTATAATTCTTCTAAATAATCAATATGGGAATTGCTTCTTCATCTTTTCAGGTGCAGTATTGGAATTTACAGCCAAAAGCAATTTAATCTTCTTAAAATAGTGTCTAACAACATGCCGTGTATTATTTTTGAAACGTACTTTAAAACCCATGGAAGATTTCACATCAGGAAAACAAATGCTTATTTGAGACTTCTTTGCTGCTTCAGCAAGTGTCCAAGGATTGAAAAGGCACAGAGTTTGAACTACTATCTTTCATGAGCATTAAATTGATTTGCTTAAAATACATGTATTTCTATACACTACTGCCAGAGGCAGGATACTGAAATAGACACGGGTGCCCTGTTCAGTTGACATTTCTCTGTATTTGCCACCTTATGTGATTTTTCTCAGTGCCTCTCTGACCTGTGATATGTGAGCTATTTTAGTCCTAGGTCTGTCAAGAGCACCCTGTCAATTTTTTCCAGGTGGCCATGGCTGTTCGATATTGACAGATGTTCATTAGAAGCCAAGATGAGAATTATTCAACTAATTTTCTTGTGTAACCTGATATAAAGTTTGCACGCTGTCCTTCGGTGCTGAAAGACTGGTTCAATTAGTTTACCCCATCAGTCCCTGAACTACTAAACCACAAGTACTTAACAAAAGTGGATAGAAGCCAGACATGGACATGAACTAAAAATAACCACTAATGCATTAGTTTTTGTGCCGCAGTTACCAAGGAAAAAGGGATTTTCGAGGCATCTTAGCAAACGGCTGTTTTGGGAAATGCACCCAACTTCTCCCTTAAACTAACTGCATCTCTTAACATCTTTCCTGCTCTGAAGTGTAATACAGTAGTTGTCTGCAAAGTCGATGTTTAATCCTTTGTGGGAAATGTTTTCCTGTCACTTCCAGAAGTGCTAAATACAAACTGAAGAAAAATAACCTTACTGCAAGTTTTTAGTAAATGAGCAAACACATTCAGTGCTGTTTGAAATGCTTTATTTAACTTCTCTAGGGCTTTTGTTTAACATTGAAACGTTTGTATTTTGAACTGCTTGGACAACTTGGAGAGGAAATAAAAAGTGCACTGGAAAATGGGAAACCTGCTGTTACACTTTGTACTGGAGATTCAAACATAGATTGAGTCTCCAAGGTGATCCAGCTGTAGATGCTTTGTGCATTTTGTCATAATATTAAGTGAATGTTTTGGGAAATATTTTTTGTGACTATTCTTTTGAAATACAGTTGTATGGATGAGTTGTCCGTGTTTATCCCCCTGAAATACTAATTTTAGGCGTTATTTTTCAGGAAGAGGGTCTCCTAATTGTTTTTGGTGTCTCTATGAAAGAACAGTCTTACATCTGAGATGCGATCAGCAGTTCTGTGATTACACAAACTGTGGTCACAGTTGCCTATACCATTATGGTGGCAAGACCAGATTAAGTATTTTTTGCTTACTGTTAATTGCCGCTGCCTGCCTCAGTTTACCATCCTTTGAGGAGTGATTTATACCTAATAGTCTCTCATGCCCATGCTTCTTGTGGGAGGTTGGGAGAGATACCTAAGAAGAAACCTTGAGGGATGTGAAGTTGAGACGGCAAATTAATCATGTATCCTTCTATTTGAAATGTGAAAGTATCGTTAGAGTCTCTGTCAGCTTTGTCTAAGAGACATCATTGGCTGAGTAAGTATTCTAGTTATCCTTTCTGCAACAAGGAGCAATTTAATTCTGGAAAATGCAGAATTAAATTATGTAAATTAACTAGGAGAATCCTAATTGCCCTGTTGCATGTTGCAAGAGAGGGAATGGTTGCTTAGAGTTAATTGTAGGAACTGTGACATGTGAGGGTGAACATAGCAGATTTTAATCATGGCTTCTTACTACAACTGCTTTTGGAAATAACAGCAACAACTGTTAGGTAAAACAAATGGTGTTAAAAGGTGCTTCTTCTTTCAGTGCCCTTGCTGCCAGTTCCAGCCCAGCCAAGACCTGCTGTAGGACCCCAGAGATTTCCTGTGAGTAGCAGCTGTTTCTTCTTCTCTGATATGGATAAGCATACATTTGCAAGGAAATATTAATATAGCAAATAAAAGCTGTTCTAGTGAAATATAATTTTAAGGATTTGTAAATATTGACAATACACTCTGCAGTTGAAAATGTTTGTTAAAAGCTTAAGGTCAATGGATTTTTGAGAGTAGAATTAATTCTGTTTAACTGTAAAATTGTTGAACCAGTCTCTCCAGTGGGAGAGGCATGAATGCATCTTGTCTTAAGGAATATGGGCTTCCTTTTATTACTTGACTCTTTCTGTATAAATAGAATCCTTATTTTATTTGATATAATAAAAGGGCTATTTGAAATAATCCCTAAGCTTAAAAAGCAGTAACATGTATTTATTGTAAAAATCAGCAATCATTTTTGTCATTACTTCAGGCATTTAAATGCCCTCATTTTTTGTATTAAAAATGGGAATGGTCTTGTATGACCTTGCTTTCTCTTTATGTTAACTTTTGGAACAAACAAGGCACTTAGCTGCTTCACTAGGCTAATTTCACTTGACATTTTTTTTCTGTGAATGGGGAGAGTGCATGCTTCTAGACCTTTTCTCATAATTTCACAGTGTTGTCCTAAATTTTTAGTTCAAGTGGTTTGCAAAGTATCTAAATAAGCAAAAGGAAGAATAGTTTGTGCAATATTGCCTTAAATATTTTCCAATAAAGACCCATATATTCTATTTCCCCCACAAAAATTATGCTCTGTTAATGTGTGCAGTGTTGAAGGAGGAAAGATGATGTTTGTGAATGTCTGTGTAGTATCACACAGTAAATTACTTGCATAGAGATCAGATGTATTTGAAAGAAGCAGATTTCAGAAACCTGCTTTGACTTTTGATTGCCAAGTGCATACCTGGTTAGTTTTGACGCAGAATATTTTTTGTACAGGACATCTAGCTGAGGAATTGTGATGTCCATATTTTGTATAGTGAGTTTTTAAATTGCCATGTTTCTTCTGTGAAGTATAAAAAGGTTAAGCAGTAAAACCACAGTTCATTAAGTAAATCCATTGTATACAGTTTTATCGTCAACACTTTAACTGGAGCTATTTTTCTGTTAAAAAATACTGCGTTTTTCAGAGGAAATAGTTTTCTTCAGCAGCCTTTACTATTATGTGGAGACTTTATTAACATTTTAAAAGTAATTCTAATTGTTTTTTGTGAAAACAAGTATCTTGCATTTGTTTTCCTTTGACACTTAAGTTGCTTTGCCAATAAGCACAATTTGGGATGGAAAAGAAATCGGAGGACAAGGAGTATCTGTAAAGGGGTTGTAATTGACATCTTTGAAGTGTGTTTACATCAGTGTAGAAAAATTGGAAATTATTTTTTTTTAATTGACTGTGAAATTACATTTTAATTCTGTTCATTTTTGGTTTTGTAAGTTGAGAAGTACTACAAACCTAGCTAATCTTGTATGCAACAGTTTTTTAAAAGGAAATAAAATAGATTGAACATTTTTGGTAGGACTCTTGCTTCTTTTGCCTGAAGGAAAATACTTGACTGCGTGCTGCCTTTTCGTGTAAGCAAAGCACTAGCAAAGAGTCCGTGTAATTCTTTTCCCATAAAGAAGAGGAGGAGGGCTAACTTAACTACGAGGATCCAGTACTGTGATTTGTTGCCCTGAGTGTGTGTTTGGTTTTTTCCTACTTCAGCTAGTAACCTGCTATATGACCCTGAGAAAGTTACTTAATCTTTCCATGACTCACTAAGTTATGAAATGGGTATAATATGGACTTCACTTTATAAATTTTGCATAGGTTATCAGTCATATTAGGATTAGGAATTAAGTGTCACTGTGTACATATCTCATGTTTGTTTTATTAAATGTAGTATGTTAGCTCTTGAGCTGAAGACAAATTTACTTTGACTTGAATGTTTTATCTTGCAGAACTACCTTTTTTGCTCTGTTACATGTCAAATGCCTTTGTGCCATTATAATTCACTTGTTTATGTATAAATGTTGACATATAGCAATACAGCAATGGTTAGACAACTTTGACAAGCCATTTGAAAAAGATCAAAGATGCATTCCAGACTGTAGTTCCTTCATCCTTTTCCTCATTGTAGAAAGAGTCTCTGGATATGTGATAACTTGAATTTGTTCTTGTTTTTAGAATTACCTAATCAAAGGATAGTAGTAAATTGATTTTTCTGACTGCTTTGTTTCTGAAAAACTGTGGGGTTAGATTTAAGTATTTGTAGCCTGCTTTCTCCTTTAACTTTGAACTAGATGGTGTATTTTGATTGAATGTGGCAGAGTTGGAAACATTAAAGGTAATGAAATTCTTGCAAGGGAGAGACCTAAAAGGAGCTTAGTGCCCTAACTGAAGGAAAAATTGCCTGAGCTCCTATCTTATCTAGGGGAGAAACCTCTCAGCACAGAGAAGCCTGTGTGTGCTCCGAAGATGGGAAGAGCTTCAATCAGTGCTAATCAATTGCAAGTCATAAATCCATTGGAAACCAGGTGTTACTAATTTAGGGCTAATGAAGGGACTTGTAACCATGTAATGGTTAATTCTTACAACCTTCTGCAGAAGGATGTAATTGAAGAGTTGAACAAAGTTGTAATGAGCATGTTAGCATATTGGTGTGAGTTTGAAATTAGAAGAAATAATGTAGTACTAAATCAGGGTAATGTTGATCAGGATTGAACTTGCTTGGAGTTGGGACTGATTAAATTAACGTAACCTTGAATCTGAATTTTAATATTTCAGAGTAGGGCTTGTTCAATTATTTCTTACTTGAAGCTTAATTCTGAAATGTTTAGAGGAAGTGCTAGAGAGAACATAATGGAATGAATCTCTGTTCCCTACTTAGAGTTATTTTAACATTTACAGTAATCTTGAATCAAGCAAGGACGTTGTCTGTCGCTTACTCTGTAAGCATTCAAGGTGACTCAGTGGGAATGATGTTTGAGAGCGGCATTCAACTGATTAGGACTGAATAAGCGGTGGATCTGAGACATGCTATGGCTGAGAAACGTGGTTAACTTGTGGTAATGGGGAGTTAAAGACCAGAGTTCTGCGAAGGCTTCTATGTTTGTATAAATTGTACAGCACTCTTCAGGTGGTTGTAGTTGATAGTAATCCAATCTTCAAGCATAGTCAGTGCTAATATTTTTCCAGGTATTTGAATTAACCTGGAACTGTGCAAGTGCCAACTGCGTGTTTTCTTTAAACTGTTTAAAGAAGAGATTGAGCTAACCTCTTTGGCAGAGTCCTTCTGAAGGTCTTGCTTTATCATCTGCCTTTGTTTTAAGGTGGATAAGATGCCTTCTTCTGAGTTCCTATGTCAGCCTGACAGTTGGTATTTCACAGTAACAGTCAGTTTGCTTTGGGGACTGATCCATTTAAAGGAATGTGACAGAAGACCTTATTCATACACTAGTTGTATGGGTCTCCTGAACTTCTCATATGTTTTCTGACCAAATTATTAGTTTTTGCGGATGCCCCAGTGCAGATACAGAGCCTGTGTTTTTTCTTGTTATACAAGAGGGACCATTGTGGTTCCTTTCCTCTGGTGTTTGTTACCTGGGCTAATTTCTCTTTCAACTCCTGCATTCTGTGAAGAAGGATGGGGTAAAACAGGGGAAGAAGAAATTAAATGGAAAACGGAGGAGGTGTTTCTAAACACTTTGTATGTAGGCTGCTGCTAACTGACTACTATAGAGGCCAGATCATTTCTTAATAGGGAACTAGGAGCTAAGTGGATGGTCCAGATCTCTTCATCCTTTATGTGAGTCCACGAGCATATTCTGTGTCTGAAATATTTCAGTGTTTGCCTGAAAAAAAATGTGTAAGGACTTTTTGTTTCAAACATCATTTATTTAACTTAACACTAAAGTAATACTCACGTGCAATTTTTTTAAGATGATATAAAAGTGAGGAATGAGTGTTGTCATGCCAACTTTGGGATGGAACGTGGCAGAGGGAAGGCGTTTTCACTGTCGACATTCTTCAGCCAGAAATTGCAGGGTATCCCTAGCATCCAAATTTGGGGCTGGAGTGAGGCATTTGGAGTGAAGAGGAGGTGGGGGAGAACCTGCCTCACACAGCTGAAGGCAGAAGAAAGGAATTCCTTGGATCTGAGGCCATTCCCCCTCTGTCCCTGCCCTGGATTCTCCTCTGAAATCGCAGCAGAGAGAGAAGAGCCTGTTAACGCAGCTGTATGCCTTTGCCAGAACAATTTTCAGAAAATTAGTATAAATTTTGATTTAGCTGCTGTCCTTAACCTGATACCCTGGGTGGGGTGCGAGCTGGGCAGGTGTCCATCCCACAGACACATTTTATTAACTTTGGTCACCTTGAGTTTCAGAGCTGAAGTTAGGAATAGTCTCAAGTGACACGAACCACAAGATGAACTGGTGCTAGTGTCTGCCTGACTATGCCAGGAAGGCTTTGATATTTTTTGATGCACAGAGCTTTTCTCTTTTGATAGGACACCTTAGTGCACTGGGTGCCTTTCAGATAACTTGAATTCAAGTCTGAAAAATTGAATTGTATAACATAATTTATGTTTTACTCAATATAAAAATAAGACTTCAATAGAGTGACTTGTCCTCAGGTCCCTTGTGAATATTCTATATCACATGTCTTTTCAGTTCCCAGGGGGGTTTGACATGATTTGGTTTTGGAACATACCTTACAATTTCTTTTCAAAATCATCTTTATCCCAAAGAATATTTCCCCCCTCGCCCCCCCCTTAAGCTGCAAGAATCTTAGCAACCTTTTTTATATTCTCATTCAGCGTGCTTCCACGTGATCTCCAGGACATCAGGTGATGTCTTAAATAGATGCTGTGAAAGGCAGCTGATTAGTTTTGATTTTTTTTTTCACCATTTCTGAAAATTCTAGTTTGACGAGTTCTGAGCTTTGGAGTGTTGTGTGTAATTCAGACACTGTTTTTAATCGCTTCTTTATGCTTTAATCTGTGAGAGATTTTTTTAAACAGGTGCCCAGT